AAAAAAGAGAATAATCAATTAATTAGTGAAAAGAAAAAATTTGCCGGTAGCAAAAAAGTTTTCAAAAAGTTTTTTTTTAAATAAAATTTTCTTACCTGAGTTTTTTGCGACAGTTTAGCACCATATACACTACACACATCAGAACGAAAACCACGAAAAGGTGACAAGTGAATAATAATAATAATCCTAATGCCTAAGACAACAAATGGGAAAAGAAACAAAGAAAACCATAAATTCAAAAACATCATCCGCAAATGACAAAAGCAAATATAAATAACAGCAAAAAAAAAACCAGATAAAAAATTTGTTTGTCATAGCCTGTATGTGTAATCTCATGGTACCAGGATACACCACCACCATCATTTACATTATTATATGACCTATTGATGATAATAATGATGATGACGACAAAGAAAAAAAAAACGATTTACATAGGTGTACACAGGTGGTGTGTATTTTTTTGCGATATTGTTATACATCACGATAATGGGATTTCATGTCAATTCTGTATCAATTTAGATGCAAGAAAAAACGTTAATAATTTTTTTTTTTGAAATGCTAAAAATTGGAAAAATATTTATAAACTGATAAATCAACTGATGAACTTTTTTTCGATAATTAATCAATTAATGTTTTATATAACCCCTCAAGCAATCATCATTTTTACCGGTTATAAAATTGAAATTTTATTTGATTCATTCAAATCAAAAATAAGACAGCTTTTTTTGTTGTTGATTGATTTAGGTCAAAAAAACAGTTAACACTTGATTAAACTAACCTGAAATGATTGTGGAAGAAGTGATATTCGAGTGCAAAAATGAAAATCTTTATTTGCCAATAAAATTGATTAAACTTTTTATTAATAATTCATTTTTGCGAATCAAATTTCATCACACAAACAAACACACTGATGATGAAAATGTCGATCTTAGGGAAAAAATTTCACATTTTGAAATGAAAATTATGAGAAGATTGAACTTTGTTCGGTCATAGCCGAACAAAATGAAAAAAATCGACAAGCAAAAAACGTCATTCGACAGACGATTATATATAGGGAAAAAAAGGGTTAACACTGAGGCAAAATAAAAAAAAAACAGCAGCAGCAATTGTTTTGCTTCAACGATGAATTAAGAGAGAGAGAGAGAGAGAGAGAGAGAGAGAGAGAGAGAGAGAG